GCCTCGGAGTGTTCCACGGCTGCTGTCCCGTTGCCAGGCCCTGCCTTGGACGTCAGTGCTGACTCTGTTGCGACGGGATCAGCAGCGCTTCTCTGGCTTGAATTGCCACTGGCATCTCGCCTTCGAGATTTGCCCATTCTCTCCCCAAACCCACTCCCCCTCCCTGCCTGGGGCTCGGCAGAGTCTGCCAGGCATTTTTTTGTGTCTGCTGAACCCAGGCCGAGGCCACTGAGCCTCAAGACATGGCCTGGGTCGACCTACACAGTGCGGCCGCCCGCGGTGACCTCGACCAGCTGCGGCGGCACTGGTGGCTGAAGAAACACCTTATCAACAGCCGCAATAAGGACAAGCAGTAAGGGCAAACAGCAAAGCCTCTACCTGTTGTAAAATGTGGAATTTGTCAGAATTATCTAAAGTCAAGGGGTTTTTTTGATGCATGTACTCTGGGTACTTTCAAGCCTAGGCAGCAACAAAGGATACAATCAGTGGAACAAATAGCAGCTAGCATCCCTTAGTATTATTGTATTTATTTTATTGACTTTGTTTTAATTATTACTCTATTTTATTTTCTTTGTCAATAAAGGTTTTACTTTTGATTCTCCTCCCTGTTTCACTGGGATGGGCAGGGAGAGGGTGTGAACAAGGAGCTGGACGGGGCTTAATTGCCAGTTGGGCTTAAAGCAGGACAATTGTGTATGTTTAATTTCTAGGACACCTCTGCATCTTGCTTGCATGAATGGCCATGCAGATGTTGTTCGGTTTCTAGTAAGCAAGAACTGCAAGCTAAATCCGCGTGACAAATATAAGAAATCACCACTGATGATGGTATGTGAAAGGGGCATATGTTGTCTTATCATTGAAGATGTTCGAACTTTCCAGTGTTGGGAAGACACAGGAGTTCTGACAGAGAAAAATGTTGATGTTGGAAGTTATTCCTCCTTTGTGTCTTGTTTCCAGGCAGTACAGTACCAGCAGAGAGAATGTGCAGCTGTTCTGCTGGAGCATGGTGCCAACCATGATCACAGAGCTGCTGCTGGCAACACTGCCCTTCACTTTGCTGCCCTCGTGTCTAACAAATCTCTAGTGGAGTTGTTACTGGAGCACGGTGCCAATATCGATGCCAAGAATGAAGTAAGCTTGGACTTTGGGTAAAGCTCCTCTTCCCAAGTCAACTGCAGTTTTCTCTGTTATTCTTAGAGAGATGATTTTTCCTTTCAGCTGGGATACACTCCACTTGCTCTCGCGATCACCGAGCGTCGTAAAGGGATGGTCGAGTTCCTTCTCCAAAAAGGGGCTGACGTAAATGCTACAGATAATCATGAAAGGTGAAGGATTTGATAAGAGCGCGTGTGGGACTCCTTAGCACTGTTCAAGTTGGACTTATGGGAGGCATAAGAATGAGCTTTGAGAAAGGGCCAGGAACCATCCAGAAGGAGCTTCAGTGTGCCTTGTGAAAAGCAGACCTGCGCTCTGCTATTTGCTTCCTTCAGGGGACAATTTCCACACTTGAGGACTGCAAGAAATCCCACATGCACACATGCACGTGCACGCAGACACATGCAGGCACACACACACACAGAGTCTGAGTCTGCTCTGGGTGGGTGGCTGGCCTGGAGACCTCCTGAGGTCCCGCCAGCCTGAATTCTCCAACACTTCCTGGTGTTTGACTTTGCTTTCGTTCTGCCAGTGGGAGAGGGGAAATGAATTGTCTGAGGAGCAAAGAGGGATTAAAGTAATGGCACGCGATGCCTATAGAAGCTGATGTATTTACTCTTCTTTCCTGGATGCCTTAGGACCCCTATGGAAGTTGCTGCTGTTCTCCAGGATAAGGATTCAGTCAAAGTTCTTCTCCGCCATGGTGGTGTGCTGAATAAAGGATGCCTTGGAGAGTACGCAGCTCGAGCTTTTGAGGAACTGTGTCAAAATGAGCTGTAAGTGTTTTCTATCCTCGTACGAGCAACTGCATTTTCAAAATGAGCTCTCTGGTCTTCAGATGAACCGTGAGACTTTCTGAAGCCCTTAAAAGGGAGGACTGGGGTTGAGAAGACATTGTGCCATCTTAATGTTGAGACATGACTATAACATCCAGCTGAGGTAGAGGCTTTGGAGATGTCAGCCCGCCTGGGTGCTTGATAATCTCTTAGGCCCTTGAAACTGAGAGGGAGTTTATTAGATGAGGCAGTAGCCAGCAGGGGTGAGCTACTCCACAGATAGAATAGGCACCTGTAGCATGAGCATGCCTGTAGTGAGGATTTCAGTCTCCACTACGCTGGGACTGAGGTACGTTCTGTGTTTGTGTGACCCTCTAGCAGTTGTCTATGAATAGGGTAAGAATGGCACATTGCACAGCTATTGCTCTTCCTGCGGAGAATGCATGAAAGTCTGGGGGCATTTTTACCTACTGTGTTTCCTCCCTTTCTATCTTTAGTATTGCTAATGAAGGAAGGGAACATGAGTCCTCTGAAAGGGAGGAACAGTGTTCCGCCAGAGGCACAGAAGGAGTGAACAGCTCATGCCCTGGGACAGCAGCAGGAGAAGAGGCACAGGAAGACAGTGACTCTCCCTGGGATTCTGAGGTACCTGCTCTGGAGGAGGCAGAGAAGTCACTCTGGATCAGTGCCTTCTGGGCACCTTTCCCTGTGCTGTCGATTTTGCCACATGCTCTCCTTGAAGCTGACCTCCAAGCTGGATTTCTAGAACAAAGCAGTAAAGCTTTCTCCTGCTTACTGTCCTCAGAAATGTTACAAGACTGGTGTTGTGAGGATTGCTTTTTTCTACCTCACAGCCTTCTTTCCTGGATCCATTAATGTCACATGGTTCCCCTATATCCTACAATCTAGAGATGCTTTTCTGCTGCCTATGTTCTCTCTGGACTGGGCAGGGGTATTTCATGTGCTTTTGAAAGCTCTGCTCAAGAAAGATGCTGAATGTGCTGGTTGTGTTTGCCCCTTTCCTTCCTTCTGTCACCCAATTCCTCTCGTTCGGCCTGTTGGATGAAGCAGAAATGTTCTGCGCAATGATGGTGGATTAGAAAGAGGCTGTGCCATTTCTCAGCTGTTTCTTTTAAACTGTCAGGATTGCTGTTTTCGACCTCACAGCCTGCTTTCCTGGATCAACAAATGTCAAATGGTTCCCTTCTGACCTACCATCTAGAGATGTGTTTCTCCTACCTAGGTTCTCCCTGAATTGGGCAGGGGTACTGCATCCCCTTTCGAAAGCCCTGCTCAAGAGAGATGCCGAATGTGCTGGCTGTGTTTGCCTATTTCATTCCTTCTGTCACCTGACCCTGTTTGTTTAGTCCTGTTGGCTGAAGCAGGAGTGTTGAGCAGGGAAGTGTGTTGAGAAGGAGGCTGTGCCAGTTCTCAGATGGGTCTTTGAAATTTTACAGACTGATTCCAAAGGTAAAGGCAAAGCGTTGGCCGACCTGACGCTTCCTGTTGCACTCGACAAGAGTTTGGATGCGCGCTCTGTTACAATAGAGAACAGCAAAGGTAATGCCAGAGG